ACGAGAAGGGCGACTACGACGCGGAGAAGGGAATGGGCGCCATGTCCCCCGAGGAGGTCGAGGCCCTCGAGGCCGCCGCCCTCCCCGAGTTCGACGACCCCAACCTGGACAAGGACGCTGCCATCGCGGGCATCCTCGAGGACGACTCCCCGTACCCAGAGGTCAGATCTGCGGTAGCCAACACGGACGACCCGACCATTCCTGTGGCGACGCTGAGGGCGTGGACGCTGGGGCTCATTTGGGCCATTATCATCCCGGGCTTGAATCAGTTTTTCTTCTTCAGGTATCCCGCCGTGACGGTGACCGGCGTAAGTTGCTTTTCTTTTTTTTGTTTTGGTTATGCTTTTCTCGTCGTCCTTGTACTTGACCTCGCCTCATGTCCTTTGCCACCGCACTCTTCGCTCCTCCCCGCTTCCTATCCGCCTCGTTCCCTTTCCTTGTCTCAATTTACCCAATAATGAATTAATTACTCACCCACTCGCGCCCACAGATCGTAGCCCAGCTGCTCACCTTCCCCCTCGGCCGCGCCTGGGCCTCCTTCCTCCCCAACATCTCCATCCTCGGCATCAAGCTCAACCCCGGTCCCTTCTCCATCAAGGAGCACGTCCTCATCACCATCATGGCCAGCGTCGGCGCCGGCTCTGCCTACGCAACAGACATTGTTGCCGTCCAGCGCGTCTATTATGACCAGACGTACAATTTCGGGTGTAAGTCTTGTCTCCGGGCTTATTTTTTAAATATTATCATTAACGCACTCGTTTGCAGACCAATGGATGGTGGTCATGTCCACCCAGCTCATCGGGTTCTCCATCGGCGGTATTGCGCGCAGGTTCCTGGTGCAGCCCCCCTCCATGAGTACGTCCATCCCCTCCCATCCCCTCCCTCTTCTCTCTTCCACGACTAACGAAAAAAACCTCGCAGTCTGGCCCTACAACCTCGTCACCTGCGCCCTCTTCAACACCCTCCACGCGCAGCAATACGCCGGCGTCGGCTCCCGCGGCGGCTTCTCCCGCGAAAAGTTCTTCTACATCGCCTTCGCGTGCAGCGCCCTCTGGTATGTCGTCCCCGGCTACCTCTTCACCGGCCTCTCGTTCTTCTCGTGGGTCTGCTGGATCAAGCCGAACAACATCGTCGTCAACCAGCTGTTTGGCGTCAACTATGGGCTGGCGATGGGGATGATTACGTTTGGTGGGTTTCCTCCCCCCTCTCTCCTTCTGTGATGAGAGAGCGCGAGAACTAACGTCCCCGCCACGATAGATTGGGCCCAGATCACGTACATCGGCTCCCCGCTCGCGACGCCCTGGTGGGCCGAGGCGAACATCGCCGTCGGGTTCGTGTTCTTCTTCTGGATATTGACGCCGGCGTTGTATGTGCGTACCCTCTCTCATTTGCTTTCTCTTTTTTGGCGTGTTTTTTGGGGGGATTTCCTTTTTTGGACATCTTCGCGATTTTGGGAGAGGCGCGCTGGCGCGACGCCGACACCCGCTCACACACCCACTCCACTTACCGCATATGGCTTCTTGCCTCCGCGGGCGCCTGCGCTGCTGCGCATGTGCGTAGCAGGCGTCGGACGGGATGTCGTGGTCGCGCTCACACCCACTCCACATACCCCATATGGCTTCTTGCCTTCGTGCGCAGCAGTGGGAGCGCGCCTTTTTTTAGGCGCGCTGCTTCTCCCGCCTCGCCTCGCGTTGATTGATCGATATTCTTTTCTATCCTTGGCGCTGTGGGAGCGGGCTTGGCGTCGCGTCGCTTCCGCACACCGTCTTCCCTCCGCCTCCCTTGCCTTCTCCTCTACCTTGCTCGCCTGGTTACCTCGTCCGCTCGCTGACCCTCACTTCGTTCGGCAGTTCACCAACACCTTCTACTCGAAATACATGCCCATCTCGTCCGGCGGCTCCTTCGACAACACGGGCGGGTCGTACAACGTGAGCAAGATCTTGACCCCGGATAAGGTGCGTTTCTTTTCCCTTCTTCTCCCCGTTCCTCCGTACCTGCGGGGTTTCGCGCGCGCCTCACTACCGCTGCTCGCTAACGCTCGCTCGCCCGCTCGCAGGTCTTCGACGAGGAGAAGTACAAGAAATACTCGCCCATCTTCCTGTCGACGACGTTCTCGATCTCGTATGGCCTGTCGTTTGCGAGCATGTGCGTTGTTCTTTCCTTCTACGGCGTCGCTGCCCGCCCTTCGTGCTACTCCTCATCGCTCATCACTGACACGACATCCTCCACCCAGCACCGCAACCATCACGCACGCCTTCCTCTTCTTCCGCAAGCAGATCTGGACGCAATCGCGGCGCGCCATGCACGAGCAGCCCGACATCCACGCGCGCCTCATGGCCGTCTACCCGCAGGTCCCCGAGTGGTGGTACGCCATCATCTTCCTCACCATGTTCGTCTTTGGCATCGTCGCGATCGAGGTGTGGGACACAAAGTTCCCGGTGCAGTTCTTCATCTTGGCGTTGGTTATTTGTGAGTTGCTCTTCACGTTCCCCTCCTTCACAATGCCGAGAACTCGCTAACGCTCGTTCCAGCGTTCTTCTACGTGATCCCCATCGGCATGATCCAGGCCATTACGAATCAGCAGGTTGGGCTGAACGTTATTACGGAGCTTATTATTGGGTGCGTTCCGAGTCCTTCCTACCTACCCTGTTTTCGCCCTCGCTAACGCTCGCTCGCTCGCGCGCGCAGATACGCCCTCCCCGGCCGCCCCGTCGCGATGATGATGTTCAAGACGTGGGGCTACATCACCATGGCCCAGGCGCTCACCTTCACCTCCGACTTCAAGCTCGGCCACTACATGAAGATCCCGCCGCGGCACATGTTCACCTCCCAGGTCGTCGCTACCGTCGTCGCCGGCACCGTGCAGCTCGGCGTCCAGGCGTGGATGTTCACCAACATCGAGGGCATGTGCGACCGCGACCAGAAGGACGGCTTCTGGTGCCCCAGCACCGGTGTCTTCGGGACCGCCTCCATCATCTGGGGTGTCATTGGCCCCGCGCGGCAGTGTGCGTTGTCCTTCCTTCCTCCTCCCTCTTTATCCTCTTGACCTTTACTCATATCGTCTAAATAAATAGTCTCGCACGGCCAAATCTACTACGCCCTCACGTTCTTCTTCCTCATCGGCTTCCTCTGCCCGCTCGTCGCGTGGCTCTGCACGCTCAAGTGGCCCAACAGCTGGCTCCGCTACCTCAACTTCCCCGTCATCTTCTCCGGCACCGGCCTCATCCCCCCGGCCAACTCGAACAACTACGTGCCCTGGGCGATCGTCGGGTTCATCTTCCAGTATGTCATCCGGAGGAGGCATTTCGCGTGGTGGACGAAGTATAACTGTGCGTACTCTTCCCTCTTCCCGTTTGTTATTATAATATAATGCTGATACGCTCGCTCCACAGACGTCCTCTCCGCCGCGCTCGACTCTGGCGTTGCCGTCTCGGCCGTGCTCATCTTCTTCTGCCTGCAATATCCGCAGAACGGCAACATCGGGCTCACCACCATCCAGAGCTGGTGGGGCAACACCGTCTGGCAGAAGACCGCCGATGGGAACAAGGTGCCGCTCATTTCGCTTGCGGACGGGGAGACATTTGGGCCGGCGACGTGGTAGTTGGTGTTCCGTCTTTTTGGGGCTCCGTCTTTCCTTCTCTTTACTTGGGAGAGGGAGGGATGGGAGGCAGGGGAAGGGCAGGTTGTACGTTAACGATTATTAACGCGAGGTTTATTGAGAGAGAAACGCATATACATAAATACTTACATACGAGGGGATGTAGCGTACGATCTGATAAAATATGACTTCTTTGATTTTCTTGAAGGGAGTGAGAATTGGCGTACAAGTGAATGTTGGGTGAACGAAGGCATGTAGGCAAGTAGTTGAAATGAGTTGAATCAAGTCCTTGAGATTCAAAGAATTATGAAGCTAACTTCAGTGTTCAAAGCAAGCGAGCCTTCTCCCTTCTTCAGTTTTATTTTCCGTGCCCACTGGCGCCTCGAACAGTATTTATCTTTTTTCTCGTCGTGGTGTTCACGACTTCAAATCTCCCAGCCGAGTATGGCGACTTTTCCTGCCGGTGTATTGTTCAACGCATTAACCACGACAACGCTCCGCTGGCTTCGGTTTGCGAGGGCGAATGTGGACGAATGGCACGGATGCAACCATACCTGCCGTCCTTTCTCTGCACATCAAACTAATAAACATTCGCAACGATCCGTACCCTGTCAGCGCACGAATCGCATCGATTCGTACCCACCGTACTCGTATTCGCGTCTTGTATTGAATTGAGCTAGATGATTGTCACTGGGGGTTAAGTTAACGTTATAGAGATTGAGGCTGCCAGCTATAACAGCGCTAGTCTACTTGGCTGGTACATATGACATCCGTGCTCGGCTCGCTCAATATCTGAATCCGCGGAGGCTAAGCGCTTCTAACAGATTACACTACACCTACGGCCCCCGACGTCGTGTCAATCAATATCAATCCTTCCACGGACGGCGGAGGCTCTCGCCTACTCCGCGTCCTCGTCGGCGCTGGCGTTCACATCCTATCGTAGGGAAGTCTCAACAAATTGAATAGACCACCTCGCGCTCCGCAGCACCCTTATCTTGCGTCCCAGACCACGCTCCACGCACCCACGCCCAGCTGACTCCAGCTGGGCCCCGCGCCCCACCTACTTTGGCCAAATTGGCAGGCGGTGTTCACACCAACCAGATTGAGTAGGTACATACTCCCACGCCGGTGAACAATTCCGCTAAACCGGCGCGTCAAGCGTATTGGGCAGATTGGTACTGGATGAGGAGTTTGTTTCCGGATCCTCGCCAGTTCGTCATCTAAACCTTTGGGCCCTGTGGTCTAACGGAACGACGCCTCTGTATCCTGAAAATGACAAAGATGGCAGACTGCGAGTTCGACTCCCGCCTGGACTATAGCTTTTTCTCTTCGTTGCGATATTTGAGAGAACGGCTAAAGCTTCAGGATTGCCTTCAGACCCGATTGAGTTCAAACAAATGTTCGCCTTGTAGTCCAACGGTACGATACCAGCAATCCTTGGAAACGAGATCAGCTGGAGATTGCGAGTTCGATTCCCGCCAAGGCCATAGCTTTTTGTTCTTAGTGATTGTGGGTACAGATGACAAGACAGAATTGAATTGAACATGATGTGGCGGTGTGAGTTGTGCGTGTTTGGCTGATCCCAAAAGCGCGCCCCGGACACGTGATGTCGTGAGAAATTTTCTGGCTGTTCAATTTCTTTTTCAGCTTCAGGCCAAACACGTCGTGAAGGCCAAAAAAAAATGAGGTCCTCTCAATTTATTCCGGTCAAGTCTAACGTTCTCACACCCCACGCGCGCTATTTCAATATTCCACAGCCTTGGCTGCTGTTTATCTGTTTCTCCTTTTCCGAGACACGTCTACCTATCGGCTTGAATGTGTGAGCAACCTCACACCTTCTAACACCTCTGTTTTTCTGTTCTGCGACTGAAACATTTCCATCGGTTGACTGTCACGGGAAAGTGCCGAAACCACTCGTACGCGGGCTGAATCTCACCGATAGAACCTTCATCAAAATCTCCTTCCAATTTGTCCTAATAAGGCGAGACTGGAACTTGAATACAACAGTAATCAACTCCTCGAATGCAACAACATCGGCGGCTTGATAAATATAATTGTCTATCTTCAGCATCACGTCCGCCAAAGACTGTTGTCAAAGATGCATCCAGAGGACAAGAAGCTTAAGAAGCTTCCTGTAGGTGCCTGATAGATGAATACAGCTTGACATTTCATGACACCAGCTCGATTATCCCGAAATGGCTTCAGGTCGATGGCGAAGGTGGGGTGAGTCGCCTCACTGAGGTGGTCGCTTGAAGCGGGTACCGGCTCGTTGAATCCATAAACATGAACTCAGCCTAAATCATCAGAGCTCAGCCCGCAGTTTTACTGGTATACTCGTGTTAGCAGTTTTCAACTTTTGAAATTTGATTGTCAATGTTAAATGTCAGTTGCCTTGAAGTGATTTGATCTGTTTCGAATGCTGAACAATATAAATTTAAAGGTGGGTAAAATTTGCAGTTGCTTCACCAATCTAATAAATTCATCATGCGCACCGACTTGGCACTCTTTGCAATTGCACTCTTTGCCTCTGCTGTAGGGGTCCGTGCCCAATTCTGTTCCAAGGTGTTCACTGGATCAAACCGTGAGGCAGTCAGTCAATTTACAACCTGAGCCCAACTTACCACTCACTAATCTTTCTCATTTACAGAACTGTGATTCCTTCTGTACTATGTGCTGTACAGAGAACTTCCCCACCACCTTCCAGCAATGTAGGGCTGAATGCGTGATTGACTGCCTCGAAATCTGAGGTAATTATCGTCTGACCAGTCCACTCAGTTGAGTTCCAAGCTAACTTCCCCCAGTGAGCTAGACGCAATCAAATAGATGTGTTTGAGTCAGATTCCAATGTAGTCAGTTATTCGGTACTGCTAGTGGATTTGTTGGAAACCACAAGACTCTAAAGACAGCTTAAAATTACTACTGCCGCTGATATTTCCATTTCTTTCGCCCCTAGCTCGCGAGAATCTGTGGTGAAAATCCTAGAACTGTTCTGAAACTGAGGCGTGGACTGGTCTAGCTGGTTGCTCACCCAAATCTTATTTGAATATGCAGAAAGAGAAGAGCACTGAACAAAGAGGCTGGATATCGAACACCTCGAGGTCGGTGAGAGGAGGATATCTCCGAAGTATACATTGAATACGGGAGCTCGAAAAGAGCTGAATACCTTGAGATAAAGCTTGCCATTGAACCCGAGGCGCACTAGAAGACAGAAGATTTGCGATGTCGGGGTTCTAGTGCGAGTTGTCAAAGAAGGGCTATTCCTGCAGGGTCGATGGTACAATCTGGAACAAGAACACAGGCGTTCGGGTTTAAAGTGACGTTGGGGATTCTTATAGAGGCGCAAAAGTGATCAATTAATGAATGCAAGGCAATTATTGTGGTCGACGAATGGGATAAAATGATTTGTCTGACTGGGAAGCGCTTTCAGACACCACATGGCAGATAGCATAGTGAGCATACCTGGGTATTGTCAGGGGAACCCCTGCCCCAACCCCCATCCGACGCCCTTCCGGCCCTTCCGACCCTTCCGGTCGCTCCCCTGGTCACCGGTCTACCGGAACCGGTACCGGAAACCGGCACGTGACTCCGCCATCAGAGTTGCTCCGATGGCATTCGGCATGTGACCAAGCCCGGGATATCTGCCGATCACTCCGGTCACATGGTTCTAGTCAGTAGCTTACTTATACTTACGACTGGCATGGGAATCCTCAGAGTTTCTTCTCTTTGGATCCCCCACGCCAGGTATGCTTCTTTGTATAATTAGCTACTGCCAATTAACCTTTGGATCCCCCACGCCAGTCCCTGAGTACCTCGGGCCTTCGTGGTTGCCCTTACAGGTATTGTATGGGACTCCTGCTGAACTTTTCTAAGATTCCGAGGACATACATGTGTAGAACGCAGTATTTGAGAAGTGGGAACACTCAAGAAAGCTAATCGAGTGAAGGGCAGGCAAATACTTCTCAAAGGGAGATGCAGCTTCCCTCCTTTCGGGTTCTAGCTTGGGTCCCCAGGTCGCATTTGTCCTAAAGCCTTCGCAAGGAGTGGCGGCACCGGGTGCCCGAGGAGGCGCGTACATCATAAGATTTAAAGAAGCTGAAGGTCGAAGGAGTGCACTCGGAGGTAGCCTATTCACAGTGTTCAGACCGTCGTGGAAATGGAACAAGGAGAAACATAGAGAGGGACATTACAAGGAATGCAATGAGCAATGAGTGGAAAGACGCACCCCACCACCTCATAACAACCGGCACGGAAGTCAAAGTCGAGAGCACAAAGAATTTTGCCGTGATGCTGCAAAGTCAAAACAGAAAAGACTTCTCAGCGGTCGATGCTGGTTCTAGCTTGAGGCAGATATACCCCAATAAAACAAATGCGTGCCTGAGCCTCCACGAAAGCCATTGCCCAAGGTACAGCACGCTGAAAATAAACAAGAAAAAACCCAAGAATGGGCCGTTGAGGGTCCGGGAGTAGGCATCATCAGACACGCGAGACGGAAAAGCTCATCAGATGTCACTGTTGGGGAGAGAAAAGACCCGATGAGGACAAGGAGTCAGAAGGACGAAATTGGGGAGCTGGGGAAAGGAATTGTGCGAAAGATACCTCAAGCGTCCGGACCGCTGTTTTGGCCTGCCGCATTCGACAGCAACAGTGTCTCAGACTGCCATTTCAAAATGAAAGACGGTCACACAGGTACCGTTTCTGCCCGAATCGTAGGATTTGGGGTGAGGACGTCCACCCTCGATTGTATCCACTCTTATAGCGATTCACTTGGAGATTGGTGCTCTAAGTGGTTGATTCAGCTTGAATTCGAGGATCACTCTAGCTTGGATGGAATTTGCGTCGACGTTGGCGTTGTGTTTGCGTAGGAATTGGGTAGGAAGCAAGTTTGAAGCACAGTGTACCGATACACGTGTTATTGCCAAGCTATTCCCACGCAGGTGTTTGTTCTTGGCAGAGGTGTCGTCAGCTTCCTTCATGGTTGTCTTACTGAGCCATTTGTGAGCGCAGTCTCGGCTGTGTCTGTTATGCTCGCGCCAGCGGAGACGTCGTCAGTCGGCTGGGAGACCTTCTTCTATGAGAGCCTAGAAAGCTCATCGACGTCATAGAATCCTGGAAGTATAAGTACCAGACGGCGCAGGGACTCTCAATATCAACAAAAATCATGTCTTCCACTCGTAACATCGGAAATTCAACCTTTTCTTCCATCAGCTTTGGGGCGATGGGCATCTCGGCGTTTTACGGCCAGGTCGAATCCGACGAGGAACGCTTCAAGGTATGCACTTCGATGTTCAGCAGATGTGTTGCTGAAGTTGAACAGGTCCTCGATGCTGCACACGCCGCCGGATGCACCTTCTGGGACACGGCCGACATCTACGCCGACTCAGAGGAGCTCATTGGGAAATGGTTCGTCCACAAATTTGAGGTTCCCAATGACTGCAAATGCTGATCATGCTTGGCAGGTTCAAGCGTACCGGCAAGCATGCAGACATCTTCCTTGCTACGAAGTTTGGGTTTACGGTAGATCATTCTGTTGACGGAAGTCCCAAGTATGCTCGTGAGGCCGCCAAGGCGTCGCTCGCTAAGCTGGGTGTGGAAACCATCGATTTGTATTATCTCCACATACGTCTCCCTTTCTCAACGCACTCAGCGCATTGGTTTACATTCAATACACCAGCGAGCAGACACAAAGGTTCCCATCGAACTCACCGTCGGCGCCATGGCCGAGCTTGTCAAGTACGTCTTTCTATAGTCCCCATCCCCTCTGAAACTGATTTGGTGCTCAGAGAGGGAAAGGTGAAGCACCTGGGTCTCTCCGAGGTCTCTGCATCGACCCTGCGCCGCGCACACGCCATACACCCCATTGCTGCAGTTCAAGTCGAATATTTGCCGTTCACTCTCGACATTGAGGATCCTAAGATCAACCTACTCAACACGGCGCGTGAACTCGGTGTCAAGATTGTTACATATTCCCCTCTGGGCTGCGGCCTGCTCAAAGGCCAGTATGTACGTCTTTACCAACCTTACCTCAGCATGCCCAGTCTTGATAACTTGATGCGCGGCAGAAATCGCCCGATGCCTTTGAGGAGACAGATTTCAGGAAGCCCATTGAGCGGCGAGTCCAACCTTTGTGTCTCAAATTTGCTGCCCTCCTGATTTGCGCCTTCAGCTACAATGCCACAAACTTCCCCAACATTCTCAAGCTGGCTGATGGTCTGAAGACGATCAGTGCCAAGTATGGCGGAGCATCTGGCGGTCAGGTTGCGCTTGTGTGGCTTCTTGCTCAGGGCGATGACATCATCCCAATTCCTGGCACCAAGAAGATCAAGGTCGGTTTTCTCCACTCAATTGATCGAGCCCAGAATGTTCATGGTCGCGGTAGTATCTAAAAGAGAACATTGCAGCTGTTACTCTTACGCTTTCTGCGGATGATGTGCAGGCTGTGAGGGACATTGATAAGCCTGGCATTTGAACACCCGTGAAAATTCCAATTTTGCGAACATTTGCAATACATTAGCTATAAGTTAGCTATGTACTTGGTGTCACTCAACAGGAGCTATTGCGAGATCCGAGCAGTTAGCTATGGACTTAACGTGTGTGTGAAGAATTCTCGAGTCTGATTACACAAAGGGCCGTCTAGGCTTTGCGTTCTTCTGGGTTAGAGGACCAATAACTAAAGGTGTTTCCCAACCATCTCTTAGCAAGATTGGGGATTCGCTGCACATTCTTATCAAGGATGCATCCATTATCCATCTGGCAGGCAGTTAATTGATCACAGAGGATCGTTTAGAGGTACATATCAAAGGGAGGTCAGACTCAGAATGTACCAAGTTCGAATCCCGAACAAAGCCAAGTAAACCTGGCACGGGAAATACCGAGGCAATCACGGAATGAGGATCAGTTTTGGGTTAAGCTGAGATGTCCAATTTAGGCGACACAAGTCGCTTGGAGCGGGCTTGATTAATAACTAAAGCACATTTATCTGGCTGACTGAGACAGCCATGCGGTCGTGAGTCAGGAGGACACGGCTGGGCCAGGGGTTTTCTAATTTTACTCTTATCGAGGGTTTCGTCTCCATCAACGGAGGTAGATTTCTTGATCTCTTCACAAAATATACCCTGTACCCTCTCCTTATCGTCTCTTTTGTCTCCATTTGTACGAATCATGTCGGGGCTTATTAACCGCCGACTTCTGTTTATCCGTTTGACTAACACTATATTTATGTTTGTATTTCCTTATTAGGGTTCTTGAAAATATATATAAGGATGTAGGTTTCGTATGGTACTCTAGAGTGGACCCATACCCTTTCTCTACTAGACCTAGGCTATTGCTTGGTGTTGCCTTAGAAAGACTGGAATCCATTAGGAGCACCTCTAGAAGCTATTAGTTTCTTTCATTGTTCTGGTTACAATACAAAGAGTTTGGTTGGCTAAAGTTTGGAATCTCGACGCGTGAATTATAAGGAATCATATACAGAACGCGTGGATATACGGATTTTGGGCACGGCCATTTGGGGACATAGTTTTGACCACGAGTCATACTATTAGCTAAAATGTGTTGTGACTGGAAAAGCGAAACAGAACTTAGTAGTATATCGCATCAGTGACCTAGAAGTATCCGAAAACAATACAATATCGTGTTAAAACACTTTCCAAACCTCTCAGAGCGCGTAAAGCAACTAAGACAGTTCAGACAAACTTTGAGCTACCTTTAGCCATAAAGTCCGCTTCAAAGAACAAGTTAAATTGCAGCAGCCATATACTGTGGTTGGAACCCCGAACCTCGCATGTAGATTGTAGTGTTGTTAGTGTGTTTTGGTGTGGTTTTGGTGTTCGCACTAGAGCTATAGTCATTTCGCATTTCATGAGCAGCCACATAGTCAGCGTTTCAACATTGCGGCCAAGGCAGATGCAGCCCAGGGAGACCGATACCCCGAGGCAATGGTGGCACAAATGTTTGTTGAGACACCGGCACTGGTTTAAATACCCAGTGTAGTTGATTCGCGATGTAGCACGCGGGTTATTACAACTACGAAATCTTGCGCCTTCTATCAACTTGCCATTCATAAGTACAACGTAGTCTCTTCGTGATCGACGCTCTATATATTCCAGCTCGTACCTCGCTATATAGAGCACAACTTCTTCCAAAGAGTCGAAAAATAAATCTCGGGACGATTTGGCCATCCGGGGTATTGACTCTATTGAGAAGCAATCTCAGATTGAGGAGCCATATTTTTTATACCGAAGTGAGCCAAGTGGCTTCTTCACAAATTGTATTATCAGCCCCGTGGTCTAATGGTACGACACCAGCATGCTCTGAAATCATGAAAAGCTGGAGAATGCAAGTTCGATTTTCGCCGAGGCAGAAGTCATCCTGTTTTCTTTGACTTTTCTTTCACCAAGGCCATCTAAGGCAGATGTAAAATGACTCGGGATGACACTGTTTGCATGTGTGTGGGTGTCAGGACGCGATAAGAACACATGATGTGCTGCCTTAGTCTCTCTAAGACAGACACTCTATAAAAATTGTGCTCGTACCTCGCGTTATAGAGTCTGTTAGTTACCGCGTCCGATAAGCGGCGTCCAACGTTATCAAAATTGATGGCCGATGCACGACCAAATAACGCGTGTATTTCACGCGTCGACACCCAATTCGACTTGACATTTAGGAGTAAAAGTGACGAATCAACCTTCCAAGTGTGCCACTTCAGAATTAAAGGGTCCTGGGACTTCCAGCAAGTTATTTTGACATCAGGTGCTCTTTTCGGCCGAAACGGGCGAGAAAGTTACAATTTCAATGATTTAACCAGTGCTCTCCTCAGATCTACCAAAGAGATATTGGACGATGGAATAAGAAGCATTCCGGAGACATAGACACCTATTTTTGTGCTCTTGCCGCGTCAAAACGGGTCAGAACACGTTAATGGCCGCTCAGATGGTATCCCCAAATGGAATGCTTACATAATAACCCTGGTCGCCTACTATGATAGCGTGGTAACCACAGGACTAGCACTGCCTCTCTTTTTGCTCCACCCATTTCCTTTTTTTTCTCATACGAAGCTCTCGCCTTTCGTCGCCCTTAGCTGTAAATTTCGTTGGAACGCTACCTCCTGTTGTGCACGGCCACTTCTCTATTTGCAAGTCTATCGAGGCGATTGTGCCTCACTGCATGCGTTGGGGCGCACTCCATATACCTGTTCCATTTCGCGACCTCCTTCACATCCATGGAGATATGCTGTTGCTGCGGAAATTAGGAATTCGCATCCTCGACGTCAGTGAAAGCCGGCCGGCCCGGTGGAGGTGTTCAGTCGTGCTTCCAGACTGTAGAATCTCCTGATGTTTGACACCATCAGCCCGGCCTATCTGCACTTCCTTGGACGCAAATTGATGCTTTTGATAAGCCCCGTTCAACCTCACACTCGTCGAGATCCTCTCTTCGCTTGTCAACATTACACACCTCGAAGTGTACATCCGGCCCTCGCTGGAGGAGGAGGATATGCCGGACATACTCAACGTTACACTGAACCGTTTACCCATCCTGCGTCTTTATGACCCTAACCAACCCGGTACCCTCGAACTCGAACGGCTTTTGGAGAAGCCCATGCTCCTGAGTCTTACCTTTTTCTATGTTACCACACCTTCCCTCTCCCCGCACTTTGTGAAGGAATTTTCCTCCACTCTGGCTGCCACGTCCCATCGTTCTGCATCAAATTTTGAGATTAGGGTCGTTCACAGTAGCCTTTTTTCCACCCTTGTTTACCCTTTTTCAGTTTCCCATCGATTTTCACCGATTTTTTTTCCCCTTTTAGCATCTGGCATTTAAAAAGGGAAGAAAAGGGAAAAAAAACTAAGTTAATACCGCTAAAACTGCAGAAATTCCACGAAAAAAGGGTGCGAAAAAGGGCCGGAAAAAGTCTACTGTGAAACCCCCCACAAGTTTCTCCTTTTTTGTTCCCTTTTGTTCCCTTCTTTGTTCCCTCTTTTGAATAATCTGAGTAATAATATATCTCAGGAGTGCTGGAGGGTCGATAACCTGTTCTGAAGGTGTTTAGCCTCACAAGGATTTTCCACAAGAATTTAGGACCTGAACTTGAGCCTGAACACAAGTGAACGAAAAAGGAGGAAAAGAGGGAACAAAAGAGGGAGTGAAAAAGGGAAGGAAAAAGGGGACTGAACGAACCTATTCACTCTTTTCAGAGCACCGCAGATTGCTCTCCAATTTGGGATTGCTCATTTACGAGAGATGTGAATCTATCAACACTTCGGGCAGATCGAGCACTGAGCACTTCACATTCGGCAGAAAACGACACGACTAGGGAAGTGACGGCAATGCTTCTGACGGGGAGTACAACTCAATTAGAGCAAAGACACGAACATCAGACTTTTGACAAACATCTTTTGACCTTGTACAAAGTCAAAAAAGGCCGAAAAAGGGAAAAGGTCGCAAGGTCGCAAGGTCGCACGCTGAATTTTCGCAAGGTCCAAATTTCCTCCAATTTTTTTTTCTCAAGGGTTGTCCTGGGTACAATTCCCGATTTCATGGGGGCTATTTTTTCACTTCATGGTCTTTTTGACCTTGTGAGCTTGCCGACAAGCTCACAAGGCTCAAAAGGTCACAAGTTTTTTGTCAAAATGCTGATGAATGCTTCCCGACATATGATTATGTTATCAAACTGCGCTCTCATATCATTTTGATTATACGACCGTCCATGATTTATTCTGTGAGGTTGGCGAGACTCCTTGTTGGCCAAACAGCCACATGAATTGACTGGAAGCCGACATTGTACTTTTGGAGTCCTGTGTTCTTGCTGGGAAGGCGCAGCTTTTTATTTGTGCTGTCATACCTAGGCTGCGACTCATATTACAGCCGACTTGTGTCATCTAAAGTAATGTGGCTGAGTTTCACTGCATAATATTGAATAGTCTGGTCTCCCGGTAGCTTCTCGATAGGGATACATGTTGACGCCATTTGAGTTGATTTGACTTATGATCCGGCAGGTTTTTCCGAGCTTACAGTTTCCCTAAGTATCCTGAACGCTTCAACAATTTATATAGGAGTGCACTGAAATAAACCATACCCCGTTTTTTAGACTTGCCAAAATAGTGCCATTTATCGAATTCTGTTGCAGTTGTCGCTGTTTGGCTGATCGAGCACGCGTGGTTTTCATACGTGATGCGAAGTCGTTTTCTAGTACTGCAGCACCGCCACTCGTTTCCTTGACGCGTCTTCCCTGTGACATAGGCCCTCCTGCAGCCTCGATCTTGCTGGCCCTGCAAAATTTTCATCCAGGTATGGACTGTTCCTGATAAGCAACCACTCAAGAACTATAGACTACATGTTTCGTCTATGCCCTTAGTGTCTGATGCTACATGTCGGATTTACTGATAGAGACATACATTCATGTATAGCCTGCTAATAGTGCTCCTTTTGTCTATTTCATGCATGCTTCAAAACACGGCTTATCACCGGCATGCTATGAAAACAGGGTGACAAGCTGATTCCTTCCAGAACAAATGAATAAACTGATTCATTTAAACACAGATAAATCATAATACACACAGTAACACAGTAAACATGAATACACTACTGGGCACCAAAAAGAATCGTATTCAATCATTTATGGACACTAAGGAACTCCGAAAACTCAGACAGCAACCAAATCCAAGTCAAGTTGTGTATCACCCAAATTCAAGTTCTCAACCGTTGGTTCAATATTGGAAAGATCATCCTCCACCCCTTCCATGAGTCCTGAAAGTGTGCTGAGCTCTGTCAGACGGGCCAAATTAGCTCTGTGTTGCTTGCACACATCCTCACCCACGTTGGCCAGCCTTTCATCAATATTCTTGACCTGTTTGGCTTGAGATGAGCGTTCAAATAAGGGTCTTGCTATTTCCCAAAGCTCAACTGCTTTGAGCAAATTGCCGTGCCCTTGAGAAATGTCTCCAAGCTGTAACATGCATTCTGCCCTGCTGCGGTGAACATCCATGCATGTAAATCCTTCCAGTGCAACTGTGAACAAGCTAACTGCAGTATCCTCATCATCTTGGGCAAGGAATAGATCTCCTAGGAATTGGACAGCCTTGTGGATGTCAAGCTTTAGTTTTAACTTAAGTGAATATATGAGGAAAACTGTTGGCCAGGCTGATACACCTTGGAGCCCATTCCACCGATGGATATCTGCCAGAATCTGGAGACAATAGATTACAACATCGGAGTTTTGGCCCCATGATATTGTGAGGTGCTTGCAGAATAATTTGTTAGCCTCTGATAGATCTCCCTCTCTCAGAATGAGATCTGCTTCCTGACATTCAGCTGCAGTCCTCAGCCTCATGTCAACCAACAATAATTTGGCAGTATCAATATTGTTTTGCACATTCTGCTTAGGAGCATCCATGCTCATTTGGAGTTGAGCAATATTCAGTGCAGTAAGGCCATGCTGATAGGTATCCTGATTGGCAGAGCTTTCATGAAGAATTTGAGTCTGAATATTATAAGCCTCGCAATATTCAGATTTCAACCGGTGTGCCTCTGCCTGGTCGGTCAGGATAGTATAGTGTAGACTACCACTCATCATCCCACAGAGCTGTAGGAGATTCACTGCCCTAATGCAAATGGAGATGCTTTCTCTGTAGTTACCAAATGTTTGTAAACAAACGGCTATTAGACGCAATGAGTCTGCTTCACTGTATAAATCTCCAGAGCTTCTGGCAAGCTGCTGGGCCTGATATGCATTTGATTGGGCTGCAGAAAAATCACCAATCCGCGACTTCATCCACGCAACACGATGCAATGTCTCAGCATGTCGCCTGGTATTTCCAGTTGAAATTGCCAGAGATATCGCACTTTGGTAAAATTTTGTGGCACTGGGAAGATTGTTCTTGTTTTGTTGATAATAGTTTGCTGCACCAATATAGAATTTACCTTGACAAATCAATTAGTTATAAAGGACAGTATTCATTAAGTATACCATACATTTAATGTCTGTGTCTTCAAATAGCTCCAACAGTTCTGACACTTGGGAAATCAATTTCTGTGGATCATATATTGCAGAATACCGCCATGAATATAACAGTTCAGTCATGACACAAGCCTCCAGCTGATAGTCTCGTGGGGATGGGAACAGATGATGGATCTGATCAAGGAGAGGTAGATTGCCCCGGCCAATGACTCGGTTAAATGTAGTCAGATGGCATGTGCAGTAAATGCTATCCTTCAGGTCTGGATGTCCTTCTCGAAGTCCATTGTGGAGCACATTTTGAACATTTGCCAAATTTGATGATATCCGAGCAACTGTGATTGAAGCGGAGACAGTCCCATAGTGTTCTTGGTAAAACTCAAGGAGCTCCTGGAAATATTTGAGAAGGG